AATTTTTATTCTGACTTACAAATATTTACTTACACCTGTTATTCCCAATGGAGCATAGACCGCAGACCACTATTCTCCAAACCACTCTGTCCTGGGCCTTCTTTTCTAGTTCTATCCAATTCTTGTTCATTTTTCTCATGTCTGTCTCCGTTTCTCGATGTAATGTGTTCTTCGGTCTTCCTCTTCTCCTTTGGCCTTGAAGATTCCATGTTGAGGGCTTGCCTTGTGACGCAGTTCGGTGCTTTTCTCAATGTGTGTCCTATCCACTTCCAGCGCCTCTTCCTGATTTTTCGTCCACTGGGAACTGGTGTGTTCTCTCCCATAGTAGGTTATTGCAGATAGTGTCTGGCCAACGGATCCGAAGCATTCTTCGTAAACAATTGTTAATAAGCACTTGTATCTTCTATATGATGTCTTTCGTAGTTCTCCAGTTTTCCGTCCCATACAGTAGAACTGTCTTGACATTTGTACTGAAAATTCTGACCTTGGTGTTGATTAACAGACAGTTTGTTTACACTGAAGTACAGTCACATATACACACATCAAAATATTGCATATCTCTCTCATGCATAAAAAATATTGTTGTTTCTGTAGAGAGAATTTGTGTCGTCCTGTTTTCTTATTGTTGTTTCTATTGTTATTCTGATGAATTTTAAAAGTTTTCTGATACTATTTCATTGATATAGTGATATGGCTTGTCGTTTAATGGTACTTTTTATATTTGGTCCTCGCTGATTGTAGTTTCGGAAACGCTTATCACTTATATTCTAAACCATGGATCCCTGCAATTCCCACGACACGAAGGTAAGAACACAAGACTGGTATAAGTGAAGATTTACTAACCCCCAAAAATATAAAAAGTAGCATTAAACGACAAGATATATCAGTGACGACGGGGATGGGATTCGAACCCATGCGGGAAAACCCGAATGGATAGATATAATTACTAATACGTTTATACATAAAATTACTAGAAACTGAATGCATAGACATTTTCATCCTTCAGGCTGTACAATTAATTTATGGTTACGTTGTTGTTCTGTCAATCAAATACCGATTAAAGCATGTTCCCATGTTTGTTTTTTTTGTGTGTAGGAGATAAGTTTAGGATTAAGTATTTATAAATCCTGTTTCCCGAAATTCTCATTTTTTATCTCCGTTGATTTTCTGCTTTACATTTAGTGATAATAATATTCGTGATTATTATAAGTTTAATCAGAGGTCATTGTATTTTTTTAATGAAATGACCTGAAAGCTATTCGTAACCTATGGATTAGCGAGCATACACGCATTTATATATATATATATACCTAATATGCATTGATCATATGGGAAATGTCGTATAATATTTATTAAGTATAAAAGATATTTTCAGTAAGATTTATTTAAGTCTCTCTATACAAAGAATACTAGTCGATAATTAGATGGTGGTTGTAGGTAGTCGACAGGAAACCCTGAACCCGAGTTTCGTGCTACTTGGCACTCGTCATCAAGGTGTACCTGTAATCTTGAGGGAACTGGTGCTCCCTGGCGGATTCGATCTCGTGTGATAAGGACTAGACACTCATGAGATTGATCGCCACCCAGTGATCAATCAATTATGACTAGTCAATAATATCAGTGTTTTTTTTATTTTACGCCTGTTACTCCTCGTGAAGGAGCATAGGCCGCTCACCAGCACTCTCCATCCAACCATGTCCTGGGCAATCCTTTCCATCTCCTTCCAGTTCTTATTCATCCTTTTCATATCTGCTTCTATTATCCGACGTAATGTGTTCTTAGGCCTTCCTCTTTTCCGTTTCTCTTCAGGATTCCAAGTTAGGGCTTGCCTCGTGATGCAGTTTGACGATTTGCGTAATGTATGTCCTATCCATTTCCATCGTCTTTTCCTAATTTCTTCTTCAGCTGGAAGCTGATTTGTTCTCTGTCAGAGAAGGCTGTTGCTGATGGTATCCGGCCAATGGATGTTGAGTATCTTGCGAAGACAGCTATTTATAAATACTTGTACTTTCTTGATTGTGGTTGTAGTAGTTCTCCAAGTTTCAGCTCCATACAGTAGAACTGCCTTGACGTTGGTATTGAAGATTCTCACTTTGATATTGGTTGAAAGTTGTTTTGAGTCCCATATGTTCTTTAACTGTAGGAATGCTGTCCTTGCTTTGCCAATCCTTGCCTTTACGTCTGCGTCTGAACCTTCTTGTTCATCGATGATGCTTCCTAGATATGTGAAGGATTCTACATTTTCCAGAGTTTCGTCATCAAAAGTGATTGGATTGTTGTTTTCCGCTTTGAATTTGAGGACTTTGGTTTTCCCTTTGTGTATGCTGAGGCCTACTGATGCAGAGACTACTGCTACACTGGCTGTCTTCATCTGCATCTGTTCGTGTGTACGTGATAGGAGGGCTAGGTCATCTGCGAAGTCCAAATCGTCTAATTGATTTTGAGCTGTCCATTGTATTCCGTGTTTTTCTTCAGATGTCCTCATAATCCAGTCGGCCACCAGAAGAAAAAGGCACCATTTTGAATTTATGTTCTACAAGTCTTATTTTAGTTTGGTCTACCATTCGAGCAAATTAGAGAAATGTTTGAATTATATTATTATGTCTACAATTTATATTATATTTTCTGTATGAATAGTAGTGAATATCGCGTGATAAAGTCAATCAACTTTTAAACTAATGTAGATAGGTCAAAGGTATGTAATACATTGCTTAATATCTATTATCAGAATGAGTTTTGTGGAGATTTCAACCAGTGAAACTTCTAAAAATCTTCTGAAAACCCATTCTGATAATAACCACCTGCTCACTAGTGACTAACTTCAGGAGATACTCCTGGAGTTCTAGTGAGAAGCCGTTACCATTGGAGTTCAATCAGGTCTGTTGTGAAATAGGACCTCACGGAAGACAATGGTGTACGGTGGCGCAACTTCGTGGATTGGTTGAAGTTACACATTAACACCGTTGTTTGCCGGTCAGCTCAGTGGTCTAGTTGGTTAAGCGCCTGGCGCGAGACTGATAGGTCCTGGGTTCAAATCTGCTGGGGGGGCGGGGTCGTGGATGCGCACTGCTGAGGAGTTCCATACTAGGACGAAACGGCCGTCCAGTGCTTCCGGATTTTCCATGGTGGTCTAGCTTCAATTGACTCATGATTTCAACCAGTAAAATCTATTTTCAATAAATAGATAACATTAAAGTCTCTACTACAAAATGCATAGAGTTACTATGTGTAATTACTTATTATTATTAATCGAGAATAAATTATAATGTCTATTGTTCATATATACATTGTCTTAATTCTGTTCTTTCTTTCTCTCTCTAACTCCCGTCTGATTTCCATGATTATCTATCTTCTATATTGATACATTTCATAGTCTATATATTGTCACTATCCTCTTTATTCTTCCTATCAATTTATTATTCTATTTATGTGTCCTAAATTCATTTACTTATCTATTTTAATGATTATCATTCTTACAACAGTTCATGGATAGATACGTGTATATGTGTATGTTTATTTGTTTGTTTGTTTGCTTGTTTGTTTATTTACTTATTCATAGTTTTATTATCAACATGGGTGCTTATCTATCATATTAACAGATCATAGAAATCAATAATACCTATCCATATAGATATATAGTTTTAATGAATGTTTACATACATCCTTTATCTGAAATCACTTTTTTCTTCATAAATTTTAAGTTTAATATTTAGTTTGTGAACTTTACCTCTCTCTCTTTCTCACACACACACACTCTCTCTTGTTCTATCTATTTATTTATCTAACTGCAATTTCATTTCATTTTTATTGATATTATTACAATACATGGTTACTGATTATCTAATTTGTTTTATCTTGATCTTGTTCGAAAAATGGGAAATACCTAGTTAGTTGTGCATCAATCGATTTATTCACCTTTTGTTTTTCTCTCTCAATGTTCAATGTTTCCTTTCTTTTTTTCAATTCATTCAATCATTTAATTTTGTAATATTTATATTCATTTATACAGTTGAATAATACTACTAACTGTCATATATACAGCTGGATATTATAATTGTGAAACGTTCATTGTTTTTCCAGACATACTTCTCTTGGATGTATATATATTGATGATGAAAGCTTTACAACTTAAATCATGCTACACAAAGAATTTAACGCCTCAAATTTTTATTCTGACTTACAAATATTTACTTACACCTGTTATTCCCAATGGAGCATAGACCGCAGACCACTATTCTCCAAACCACTCTGTCCTGGGCCTTCTTTTCTAGTTCTATCCAATTCTTGTTCATTTTTCTCATGTCTGTCTCCGTTTCTCGATGTAATGTGTTCTTCGGTCTTCCTCTTCTCCTTTGGCCTTGAAGATTCCATGTTGAGGGCTTGCCTTGTGACGCAGTTCGGTGCTTTTCTCAATGTGTGTCCTATCCACTTCCAGCGCCTCTTCCTGATTTTTCGTCCACTGGGAACTGGTGTGTTC